CTCCTGGTGTGAGCAGATAAATCTCCATTAATGCCAATGAAATTGTGCATCTGCCAACAGCAGTGAATTTGACCTCCGATGTGCAACTTTTGGACTACATAACACCAGTGTTCAGCCTGATTTAGCAATTACTACGCCTCAGAACTGACATGTCCTGACATATCCAAATAATACACAATACATACTTACATTTCTTGCTTTCTTTCAAGGGAGAACTGAGTTGGCATCTTCTGTTGGGGCAAAGCCAGTTTATAAATTGGTGTATAATTATAGCTTTTCAGTATTGTACATTTTGGGAGATTGTTTTGATTAGTGACTTCTACAAGTTTAAATAAATAGCTTGTGAAAGTTCAACTAAAAAGGGGGAAATAACTGACTATCTTTCTTTTTTTTAAAGTCCCTTTGCGCATAGGAGACATTTTCCATAAGTCTGATACGTTTGAATTCTGCACATTTGTTCAATATTTTGATATTCTAAAAACCGTAACTAAGGACAGTATTGTTCACATTGCAGGATGGTAATATGGAGCGGTGTTTTAAAAGAATTGTTTAGTTACACTATTTAAAAAGTGTTACTTCTGTTTAATTTAGCAGTTATCAGGGGTCTAATATTTTTAGTTACCTGACTTGGTTTATAGAATCTCCTAATCTTTAATTTTCTTAATTGACAGTAACTGACATTTTCTGTAAAATACTTGAAATTGCTGCTTCTAAAAAGCGGTTCAAGAAATCGTGATAAAATAGTTCAAGAACTTACTGATGTGAACATTGCAAGTTACTGATGCACACAGCACACATTTGATTGAGACTTATTACAGGCAGTCCCCGGGTTACGTACAAGATAGGAAATGTAGGTTTGTTCTTAAGTTGAATTTGTATGTAAGTCGGAACTGGTACATATTGTAGGGGAAACTCTAGCCAAACATTTCTCCAGAGCTCAGTTTTATTCTCCCACACCTCACTTCCCTCAGTCCTTTATTCTCAAGCTGAGGTGTCTGCTGAGAAAAGCCGCTCCGCGTCTCCCTGGTCTGCTGGGGGGAAGCAGCTAGTGCGGGGTTGCCTCACCCCGTTTGTAAGTAGGGATCCGATGTAAGTCGGATCCATGTAACCCGGGGACTGCCTGTAAAGTCATTGTCAAAATTCCCATTGACTTCCGCGGGGGCCACGATTTTAGCCTAAATGTAATCTGCAGTTTTATTTAATTGCTTAAATTGGCATAATTGTTCCTGTAAAATATAATAGTCCTTCAGAAAATGACCTGGTATTAATTTAATCAGGTGCAGTATCTAATTGTTGATGAATAGATGACACTGCGTAAGTAGGGGCTACATTTAGTGCCTCTGCTCTTAATCTTGTGTGTGTGTGTTTGTGTGAGAGAGAGATTTGTGAAGATTTATCCCTTCTCAAACAGAATTGATCAGTCTGTGCTGTCTTAACTTCCTGACGCACTCGTCACGTAACACTACATTTTACATTGGTGGCAAGGTTGCAAGTTCACATATCATCCCCTTCACACTCATTTCTGTAGAAATTCTCATAAAAGGTGTAACTTATTCGTCAGAGGCACTTCTATGGCTAAGAACTACTTTTCAAAGGAAGAAACTGAGGGATTATCACAGTTTTGAGTCATGCTACTGTGATTTCACCGGAACGGTGCTGCCCAGGAGTAAGGCAGGTGAGTTGGGGCCTCATGATATGAAAGTTTAAGAAATATGGTCACCTTCCATTTTGTATGCAAGATATACCAAGTTAGAGTATGATTTAAGAAACCCTCTTTGAGAGATCTTTCCCAAGCCCCTATGAATACTTTTGATGGAAGGCCATTGTAATTTAAAAACCTAACTTGTCAACTGAAACACATAATGAGCACTAGTAAACAAAGATTGTCTTGAAGAATGTTTCAGAGGAAGCATTGCCAAAGTAATCTTTCCTTTGCACACACAGTAGGGTTCCTTTCTGCCTCACTTCATCATACCTACTCTACTATAACTCATGGTGTACCTACTGAAATAAATCAGTTGGGCAAATGAACAAATCTAGCCTTCCTAGAAACAAAAGACAGAGCCCAATTGATCAAATTATCTCATCTGCATATTTTAATTTTATATTCAAGCTAATACAAATGGTTGTTCATGAATTTTATAGTTAGCTTTTCTTTATTTCATAGATATTGACAGGCTGATACTTGTGCTGTAGTTTGCAGTTCTTTCTCCTTTTTATCTCAGCAGTAATTTTTGAGAATTTGAAGCTATTAATTAAACTTAACTTGTATTTTTATTGTGCTGCTTGAATGCCTGATTTTAATCAGACCTGAACAAACTGCCTGACTTATTTCAGTTGATAGAACTTGATGTAGATTAATTTATACTGTTCAACATTTCATTGATGGGAAATGGAAGGTAATGTTCTGGGTGGATCAGAGTTTGGCCACAGAGTGTAAAAAATCAAAGAACTAATGTTTGCAAGTGCAGATGACAATTGGATTATTAAAAGGTCACTGTTTATTTAAGCTTTGAAGTGTGACATCAGACATGATGTCCTTTGGAAATAACATAAGAAATAGCATGGATGGAATGCATATTTTAAAACTTTTTCGTAAATTCCGTTTCTGGTAAATGTAGTTATGCAGATTAGCATTGATGTGCTAAAATAGCTTCTAAGAACTATCAGAGTGTTTTGGTTTCTGATAAGCCATGTCAATTAGTCTTTTTCTGCTGTTATTATTTTCTCATGTTGTCACTGAGGGTATGTCTACATGACTGCGGTAAGTTGACTGAAGCTATGAAACTCCAGCTATGTGAATAATAGGGTTAATTTATTTTGTTTTTCAAAGAAAAATAAATACACACCAGTCAACTTTAAAAAGGGGTTATTTCATATACATAATGTTCAGATTTATAGAACAGGTTTATGTAGATATAGGTAATATCACATTTTCTGCAGACATATTTGCATGATTTAGTACCATGTAATACATCCCATAAATGCATCTTTTTCTTCTCGTAGAGTCTAAAAGGAAAGTTTTATTATCTATATGTTTTAGAAATGTGTATATCCATTTGTTCAAGAACTCCACCTAAATGATAAGAGCTAGGACCACTAGATTTAGTATGTAGCTTTCTCTTACCCTAACATAAAGCAAGGTCAGAGTTTGGTTGTGGCAGGATAATGGGATGTGCCTGGAATTTGATTCTTTCTCATAAAATAGAAAGGGAGGGGTCTGGTAGGAGAAAGTTATACTGCGGAATGACCACAGGGGACAGCAAATGACCCGGGGAAAGCCATTGGTTGGCAGCAGCTGACATCCTGGCCTGCACTGCCTGTACTCCAGGGTGAAGCCAGCAGCCAAGGGGTATGCCCTCTGCCCCACTCCTGGTAATTCAGGTGATGCCGGGTATGTCTTCTAGGGCGTATGTGTAGTTAGAGGTGAAGAGACTAAGTACTTTAACTGGGGCTGTAACCTATAACAACCAGTTACATATTCTTACAAATATTTATAACTAGAAGGCTTAGCTGGTATTGCCCGGGTCCTTCAGGGCAATGGGGCTGGTGGTGTAGAAGTTGTAGGAGTCAGGGCAGGGGGTTGGAGATGTGGAGGGTTTGTGGCAGGAGGCCAAGGATGTGGAAGTCAGAAGTGTGAAGTTGAGTAAGGGCTCAGTGTAGGGAGCTGGGGATATGGAAGTCAGGGTAGGGGGGTTGAATAGGGTCTTAAGGCATGGGGCAGGGGATGCATGAGTGAGGCCAGGGGGTTGGGCGGAGGAGAAACTCGGGAGGGAGTGGTAGGCTCAGGGCAGGGGGTGGGAGTGGCTGCTGGTTTCTCCCTGGAGGAGGCCTGAGGTGTCAGGGACTATGCATCCCATCCTCTAGCTTGTACCGAAGGCAGGACTCAGTGGGATATGCAACCTTGCCTACTGGCTTCTTCCCAGGGGCCACAGCAGGGTGAGCTGCACAGTCCAGCCTTGCTGGAGCTCCTGGTGCATAGAGGGTGGCAGTTGGACTCTGCTGGTGGGTGGGTGTGTGTGTGTGTGTGTGTAAAGAGGGACCACACTGGCTGATCCTGTTGGCGCTCTTTGGTCCCAGTCCAGAGGCGAGGCCTGCAGAGGCTGGTTGGGGGGATAGGAGTGCTAGGCATCCCACAGGTATGGGGGTGAGAGGACCGTGGCTCCTCTGGGGGCAGTAATATCTGCACTTCCCGGCCATGGTGGTGCTCTTGGGGTGGGGGTGCACAGGGGCAGGGTTGACAGGGCTTCCCTGCCCACCTGCCACTGTGGGTGAGGGCTAGAGGGAGGGTTTGGTGTAGGGGGGCCACTACCTGGTCTGGTGGCTGGCAAGAGGGCAAGCCTTGGCCCTAGCTGTCCACACTCTTCATTGTGCAGCCACCTCCCTGTGGTCGCTCGGCAGTATAGTTGTCCCTTTAAAGAGCCTCTCTCTTTTCATGTTATGGAAAACAATTGAATTCTGCCATTTTCCTGGCCCCAACAAACCCTGACCTTACTTAAAGTTAGGAGAAAGGGAAGCTGCACACTAAATTTGATCCTCCTCGCTCTTACCATTCAGGAGAAGTTCTTGAACAAACAGGCAGGCAGACAAACTGACAAGTTCACAGGCAGAGATGTACTAATCTCTAAAATATATAGACTTCTGATAAATATAAAAACTTCTGATAACATTTTTCATTCGTTGTGTAAATGTACTTGTTCATGGGGTCTTTAATCTATTTAGAAGCATAGGTTTTCAAGGTAGTATATGAGACCTAAGCCATACAAGGACATACCTCACTAAGACAGATATTGAAAGTAGGAGACATGCAAAATTAATGTACATTTGTGTGAATATTTGTTTAAAAAACTTTTTTCCTTTACAATTTGGCTTAATGTGTTTCCCATATATTAGTCAAACTGATGTATAGGTGCTTTTGGTCATTTGTATCTTTGCAATCTTTCTTTTTATTCTTTGATATTGAAAATTGTATTAAACTAAGCAAATTTGTTTTCATTCAGGTTTATCAATTAGATGGAATTCCACTGATTCTGGACAACTGCAGTATTGATGACAACAATCCTTGTATCCTTGAAGTTCTACATATTAAAAATGTATATTCTCCTATAACATATTTGGGGAGGCATTGTATGCATGTAGGTATGAGTTGACATACATTCTGTAGTCTTTGGAGTTGAGTCTTGTATCCTGTATGATTGAACAGGTGGTTTCCTCTGCATTTACATTGTTCTCAGATTTAATTATTGATTGTGGTTATCTTGAATATAACCATTTCTTAAACTGTAATCCCTACTAATCTCTATATCATGCAAATTCTCTAGGCTATCATTGAAGCCTTACCAATCACTCTGCCAAAAGAGTTGATTTCATGTTAATGCATTTCAACAGAGAAAGGGTCGATTTTGGATTTTTTTTGTTTAAAGAACTATTTAGATAGTACTAGGGCATCCTTAGAAATTTTCCTTTTTATAACTGTATCTTTGATCTTACTTGCAAAATTAAGGATGTCCTCTTGCTCACTTGCTTGATGTTTTGTTCTGGTGCTATTTCTGAATAATATATGCACTCTACATGTATGTATGCCCCAATGTAATGTCAAAAATGCATTTTGAACATTTTTTTTTAAAGAAGTAAATAGTGTAATTGAGCAAAATTCTTCCTCAGATTGTCATGACAAACAATGGATATATTTGGACAAAAGAACAGCCAAGATGCGTTCAGAATCCAGAGGTTTCTATATTTTTAAAATGTTTACAGCAAATTTCTGGGAATGCTTTACTGTGGGTAATACAGAATCAGTAAATGCTGTAGGGAGATTGTGGGTGAATTCCAGGCCTGTTGAAGTCAATTTACATTTTTGCCATTGACATCAATGAGACTAGGATGTCAACCTGTGGATGGTTTGTGATTCTCAGGGTACATCCATAGTCTCTTTATATATTTAAAAAAACTTTTTCTGCAGGCTGACAGAGTGACATCATTACCCATGAGAGGGTTGGTGATGGTGGTTAGTATAGTGACAAGGGGCCCTGTCCCCTAGTGCAATTAAAAAAATCCACAGTACTAAGTCTCAGTTGACTTGGGCTTTTGGGGCTTAGGTTTCTGATCTTAAAAAAGCTGTGTGGATATTTGAATTTAAGACCAGGCTCTGAAATCCATCCCCCTTTTGGAAATCCCAACCCTGCTTCTAGCTCAGGACCAAATATCTACATTATTTTTAACCCACCTATCCAAGGCTGAATCAACTGATGCAGGAAAGCACTTAGAGACATGCTTAAATATGAGTGTGTTTTAAGTCCCATAGAAGTCAGTGAGACTTAAAAAGTCAAGTTAAGCATGTCTCTAAGTACTTTCCTGAATTGGAGTGAACTTGCAGCTTTTCCTGAATCAGGGCCTATGTCTTGTTTTCTAATATCCTCACTATCTCCAGTTCACTGTAAGACTTCTGGATTGGGATTCATAATGGAAATCTGGATTAAGACCATACTTGGTCATTTTAACTGACAATTGAGCTTTTGCTTCAACTGACATCCATCCAGTGAACTGAAATAAGTAGATAAATAGTAAGTGGTTCATCAGTTTTACACAATTATTAAACCTGAACAGTGGAAAAATAGACCTAAACTCAGAGATAAATCTGGCAATTTATATGATGGAAAAATAGATGTCAGTTAATGATGCAGGTTATTGAACTAGTTGTGAGATTTTTATATAAACAGTGCAGACGATGTATTATGGGTTTTTTTTTTTCTGTAACTTAACAGCATTTTTAAAGAGCAGCAACTGCAAAACTCAAGAGGATTGTAGTTTGAAGGAAACTACTTTAAGTAGGTTCAGGAGATTATTGTCATAATTTTATTGCCACAGCAACATCAAGAAACCCTCTAAATCAGGGGTGGAGAACTTTTTTTGGGGTCGGGGCCACTGACCCATAGAAAAATCAGTCGGGGGGCCACCCAAGTGAGTAGCAAAGGAAAAAAACCCACCTCACTGGCATGGCTCCTGATTGAGAAGCAGAAAGACACTCCCCACATTGGCGCCTCACACCAGAGACTGGAGTCAGGGCTGGGCCAGTAGATTTTTGTGGGGTCCCCCAGGGTCTGTGGTGGAGACCAAAAAATGAGGGATTCAGTGCATGGGAGAGGCTGCTGGGAAGAGGGCTTGAAATGTGGGATCTGCGGGGAGAGAGGATTCAGCTGTGGGTTGGGGTTTTATGGGTCTGGGAGGATACTGGGTGGGGCTGAGCAGGAGGTAGGGTGCAGGAGTGGGTTGGGGATGGAGGATCTGGCTGAATGGGGGAGAAAGGAGGGTTACCTGCCACAATTCCCTGGGGATGCATATGGTTCTGTGTCCCCGTCCCCCCCCAGGAGCTGCCCCCTACTGCTCCTATTTCCCCTGATTACAGCCAATTGGAGCAGTGCGGGGGAAAGCTTCCAGGCAGTGCAATGTTGCACTGCCATTTCCCCAGCAAGGAGAGAGAGAGTACAGTAATGTGCAGAGCCATACGCACGCACGCCAGGAAGAGCCCATGGGTTGGATTCAGCCCCGTGCTTACCTGGCTCTTACCCGCAAGGCTTGGGGACTCCCTGCTGTGGGGAGGGGAAGCACCAAGCCTCAGGGGCCAGATCCAGGAAAGCCAGGGCTGCATCCCACCCCTGCTGTAATGTTACAGTCAAATTTTAAGGTATCTTCAGACCAGTATATAAGGATCATGAACAACATTTGATCCAGTGACTACAGCTAGTATGTTGCTGGCTTATAATATCCAGATCCTGAACAAACTGACAATGCAGTCAATTTTTACCATTCTCAGAGGAGACCGTCAAACCCAGCCACTGTTTGTAGACCACAGTTGGTGTTTGTTTTGTCTACACTTTTAAAAGTGAATTCAGATTAACAAAGAACAAAACTGTGGAAAGCAGTCTATTTGTCATCATAATTTCATTACATAACTATAATTAACCTATCACTTAAATCAGTTTCTGTACCAAGTAACTGGAGGATAGCTACCATGATGCGCTTTTTAATGCTTCAGAGGTTACCCTGGAAATTACAGCCTAGTAATTCTAACTTCAGGAATAGACAGATTAGTTTGAAACCATACTAAATACCAGGATTATCAGACTATTGCACATGGTTTGTCATGGGAAGAGTTAATTCTGTGTGTATAGAAGGAAATCATGCCTCACCTATCTAATATTTTTTTTGAGGCATTAGCAGTCATGTGGTCAAGGGTGATTCAGTGGATATAGCATACTTGGATTTTCAGAAAGCCTTTGATGAGGTCCCTCACCAAAGGCTCTTAGGTAAAGTAAAGCAAAACAGTCATGGGATCAGAGGGAAAGTCCTCTCATGAAACAGTAATTGGTTAAAATATGGGAAACAAAAGATAAGAATAGGTAGTCATTTTTCACAATGGAGAGAGGTAAATAAGGGGGCCCTCCAAGAATCCATAATGGGATCCATTCCATTTAACATTTTCATAAATGATCTGGAGAAAGGGGTAAACAATGAGGGAGCAACATTATTTAAGCTATGTTAAGTCCAAAGCAGACTTCAAAGAGTTATGAAGGGATCTCCCCAAACTGGGTTATTTGGCAACAAAATGGCAGATAAAATTCAATGTTGATTAATGCAAATGTCTATTGGAATGTCTATTACCAGTTTTGAGTATCAAATGATGGGGGTCTAAATTAATTGTTACCACTCAAGAATGAGATCGTGCAGTGAATGTTCTGTGAAAACAATCACTCACTGTTTAATGTCAGTCAGAACACTAAAAGAATATTGGGAACCATTAGGAAAGGCATGGATAAGAAGATAATGTTTGAGAACAAAAAAGAGATAGTAGATATGATATTAATCCATGAAACACTCACACTTTGAATAGTGTGTCCAGTTCTGGTTGCCTTATCTAAAAAAAAAAAAAAAAAAAAAAAAACCAACAACATTAGAATTGGAAAGAATACAGAGAGGCAAACATCATTGGGATATGGAACATCTTCCATAGGAGGAGAGATTAAAAAGATTGGTACTGTTAGTCTTAGAAAAGAGATGACTAGGGGGCGGTACATATGATAAAGGTCTATAAAATCATGTATGGTGTGGAGAAAGTGAATAAAGGGTTGATTACCCTTTCAAATAACTTAAGATCTAGGGTCACCTGATTAAATTAATAGGAAGCAAGGTTAAATGAACAAATGGGTACTTCACAAAACACACAGTAAATCTGTCAAAATTCTTGTCAAGGATGTTGAAAAGGCCGAAGTATAACTCTGTGTTTGAAAAGAATTTTGTAAGTTCATGGAGGATAGGTCCATCAGTGGCTATTAGCCAAGATGCTCTGGCACACAGTGTCATGCATCTGATTGGTAAGGGTGTGGGCACCACAGATCATTTATGAAAATGTTCAACAGAATTGATTCCACTACAGATTCTTGGGGCACCCCCGATTTACCTCTCTCTATTGTGGAAAATGACCACCTATTCTTATCCTTTGACTCCTATATTTTACTGATAATTGTCCTGTTCTGTTCATTCCATTTAAAGCATTTGCCATTGTTTGCTGATGGATACTTGACTAATTGGACCATTGGTCTGACTCAGTATGGCCATTCTTATGTTCTTAACAAAGCTCAGATACTGATAACATTTTTACTAATGTAATATTTCCCCATACATTTTGATTGACTTTTTTTGAGTGCAGTATAGACACTGTATACTTTGGAGAAGATGGAATGCTATTTGCTTGAATTTAAAGGTTTTCTAATGCAGTAACACCTTTTAATATGAGCTTTTATAATATACATGTTCAGATTGCTGTGGGTACTTTAACCCTTCATTTTCTGATTCTCAAGGAATTGTAATTGGGATATTAATTTTGCATTAACATTTTCTTTCATGTTAGTTTGCCCTTGGATCTGTTTTGCCTTCTTATTCTTGAAATGCATTCTTACGAACGTAAAAAAATCAACTATTTTTAAAAAAAGTGAGTTGGTGGTAGCAAAGCTCTGTTTTGCTGCGATAAAGCTTTCTGTAACTTAGGATTATTATTTTGATTCTCT